TTATTATTTATTTATTTATTATTTACTTACTTACAACTATGGGGAGCATGTTAACATATTATTCTTACAGATCACCACGTCGTCCTTGTTGGTACGTAAAAGCCTGCTGTGTTCCCAAAGTAATTCCGAACTCGACTTGAAGTGGACCAGGTTTGGTTTCTTGTAAATAAACGCGACTTCCTGATATCCCACACTGAGAGACCAGTTTTTACCAGAACAAACCTATTTTCTACTTTCAGCAATACAAACGGTACAAACTGTTCCAGTTTGTCAGTCGGGATTCTATCGTGGCAAAATGACAATCTATGCGGTAAGCATAGAACTGTATAGTTATTTAGTCTTTATTAGGTGCCATCGGAAGTGCGCATCCGGGAAAACTCCCGAGTCATTTGAACGCCTGACCTTCCATCCAGCGCCTGAAAACCTAAGTGTTCTGCCAGCAATGTGGTTAACTCTCATTGGAGCCATGTCTCTGAGTGCGAGTCCGTTTCTCTGGCCAAATGGAGTGAAGAAATGAGTAAACTGGTTTAGGTCACCGGCGAGGATGCAAATAGATTGGTTTGAGGAAGCTGACAGTGCAGTAGGGAAGAATTCATGGAATAGAGGAAATATTCAGTGAGGGTTCCTGAAAATACTGAACTAATGTTAGATAAAAAAATAGGGCTTGCATTCTAAAAAGTCTTCTATCTCTATAAGGAAAGCCACGCAAATATTTGGTTCGACTCTATTTGTAGCCATAAATTCTGGTGATTTTGTTGTCACTCACAGCGTGCGGTTGGCTCTCTATTTTCACGACCATGCAGGTCACCCATAGTGCTGGTTATTCTGAGCAGCAAACCAGTACTACCGAGAGTTATTCGGTATGCTCGATTTGGCTCGACAGCTATTTGTTCAAAGAATGTCAGCCTGCCGACAAAGGCTCATGATAAAAACTTGTCAAACTGATCGGTGAGACAATCAGCCTTAACTTACAACCAATGGGTTACCAGAATTGTCGGGCAAATGAAGCCAAATTAATCACTAAATTCTCCTATATGGCCATGCTGTCCACTAGTACCTAACATATTCCGAAAAAGTGTGAACTCATGGCATCAGCTAACTGATCTGAAATAAAAATGACGAAGTCCATGGGCACATCTCTTAGGAATTCAGGTTTAACACAGTGCTGAGAAGAATATGCAGCTCATTTCAATAGTGAAAATTTTATTGTGAATCGGTAATAAACTAGCGTGGGACAAAGTTGCCTCTTCAAAAGTAATTGAACCAGCTCGTTCAGTAAAGTAATTCTAGACAAGTGCTTATTTGCATGGGAAAATGTACCTTAAATTTCGTCCCGCAAAAATGCTGTTCTCCTGGTACCGATGGACTTTATTAAAAGATTGGTTTGCTGCAAATTGGGTAAGATGTGCAGCTGGATCCAAATGTAAAAACCGAAGAGATTTGACTTTGTGTTAGTCCACGGATTGCTGGTTACGCGCAGAAAAAGCCACCGGTTTTTAATCTCAATTGCTTTTTACATGGTTTTAGGTGGAACTTTTTCCTTAGGAGTGGAACTAGGCAAATTCAAATTGCAAATGTATAGCATCTTATGCGTTTTAAGTGCACGTTTTACTTATTGAACCGCTGTTGACTGAAACAACAAAAATAGATTTTGTATGAACGTACGTTTTTCCAGAAAATCGGACCTTTCGAGCAATTGTCAAAGGACGCATAATAATGGGAGTTTTGCGTCCTACCGAGAAAATTCGACCGTCAGTTTATGTAAATGCATCCTTGAGAAAACACGTGTGAATCACTTTGCTGCGGTCTCATTCTCTACATCATTGCACATGTGTGGCAGAAAACAAGAACAGCATATACATATATAAGCGTATGCGTAAACGTACATATTGCCCTTCGTTAACAATATTCAGCAAATCTGTTTGATGTTTCCTATATTCTGAGACATGTAAATCACGCAACATTTCACACTTCTTACAGTTGTTTGTAGTGGCTTACAAGTCTTGAGATACTATGACCAAACTTGCGAAATTTAATTTGTGCTTGGTTTTTTTTCGGTTCTATACCCAGACTCCTTGGTTTCCCTTTGTTTTGTTGGGCGAGGAGTAAAATGTTGTTCTCTTTTAAATTCTTTAATTAAGAGAGATTTTGCACTTACTTCTACACATGCATTATCTGTGGAGATGGCACATCAGAAAACCAACCAACAAAGGCAGTTCACTTTAGCCGAATAAGTTATTTAAGCATTCCAGTATAGATATGGCCTTTTTTGGTGTATAGAGTATAAGTCCGGTAAAAGATACACAGCTCAAACGCAAATCGGTTAATTTTTCGCTAGTTTCAAAACGGTATATCTGGTGCACAGCTTTGACCACAATTTCCAACCAGTTCTAGCATTTTGTCTCTGTTGATTCTCTGAAGCTGCAAAGTTGCATCTGGAAGCAAGTTCACTTTTCCAACTTTTACCACCACATAGAATGATGAACTCCCCAGCATCGATGCTGTCCTACTACATATCAACGTCATTCACGTCACTTTTTATAGAAAGATTTCTTGGAAATGCTGGCTTAAAAAAAGGATACACTCAACTTACTGCTTCACGAAATCCTAGATTTGTTTCCCAATTATTACCGCTGATAAGACAGTATCATGACATTATGTCATTAGTATAGCAATATAAATATAGTGTATTGCTGCTGTGATATCATGTCACTATTTGACTCCCCTGACTGTCATTTACAAGTAGAACAACTAAAGCGCAAATTTTGCAGTTTTTTAGAGTCCTGTTTGGAAGCGCACACAGGTGCGTATCATTTGTCTGCTTAATAATGGCTTTGAGTGTTCACGGTACGCTTGCGTAAATTGTTTGCAAAAATCATACATTGTGACTGTGACAGAAGTGATGAAATTTGTATGGTATGTTGCTACCATACGGAAAGGCACTACCGGGCTTCTGCGGAGGTAATTCCTTCACAATACCTGCTGACTTTTTTCGTTATGCAATATCTTGCATCTTCCTCACTGTTCTCAATCTTTGCAAACCGCATACTCCGATATCACCATTGAAGTTGGATTGATACACCAGAAGATGAGAACCTCAGACATTAGTTTGCCCTCATATAATGCTATAAATAGACAAATCAGTGTCTATGTTGATGCTTCAACCACAGACGTTGGTAAAGGTGATTATACTTTACAAAGGCCAGTTTCGTCTTTCAGGAGCCTTACCGACCATCTTTCTTCTTTATTCAAAACCTTACTGACCAAATAACATAAGAGCACCTCTACAAAATGGTTGGATGTCTAAGACAGACTGTGCCTGCCTCCACAAAATGGACTATTTCGTTTAGTTCGGTAAAGACACACGATCTAAAGCAAGAGAGAATGAAGCGAAACATAAAGTAAACGTGAAGTATACGATCGTCCAAACATCTTTCATACATTTTTCGAAAAAGTTTGGTGACAATCGGTAGATTTATTGCTGGGCTTCGTCAGGCCAAGTGACTAGGTTCCGAGGTTGATCGAGATTTAAGGCGGAAGGAGAACCAATCAGCTAAGTCAAGCCAAACCTCGGTTGGGTGTAGGCCGAGGGATTTTAGCTTGTTAGAGTGGTTGAACAAGTGTTGGGGCGGTGGGGAAACCTACATGTGTTAGGGTCAAGCCTAGGGTCTAGTTCTTCTGGTTCGGTTCATTTGATGGTTCCTCTTGAACTTCGTTTGAGCCTTCTGTTAGTCTGTGTGAGTGAGCTAGTGCTAAAAAAGTTGTGTAGGATGGATGCTGTGACCTTTGGTCGGTTGGGGTTTCCACCCTCATCCCCCGGTTTTTTTCTCATGATCCTAAGTGGATTGACAACCACACCGTCACGTGTCAACTCGGCTTATCTAAGACCGATTTCCATACGCTCGCTAGCTCCACACCCTCGATTCTATTCACGCTGTGATGCTTGGTGATTTCCACCGCCTCGGCTATCAGCCGTTGTGGTGTGAATCGCAGTTCCCCTCTTAAAACTTCCACATTCTCCAGATCTATTCTATGTCCCATGTCCAAGGCATGTGCCGCCATCGCTGAGTCTTTGACTAGCGTTTGGTATTCTTCTGAATTCCTTGGTGGTTTGTTAATCCTTCTTTTATGCCCACCAATTTTGGTGTGCAATTCCCTGGCAGTTTGTCCAGCAATAAATCTACCGATTGTCACCAAACTTTTTCGAAAATGATGACTACCCAATCGGTTTCAAGTATTTTCCACGTGATTGAACTCTTCCATATATCTTCAATACGCGACAACTTTAACATTTTCGATCAAATGGAAGGCAAGATGTTGGTAACACCTGAAACAGTTAAAGTGGTCGGATGCAAAAACGGTGTCTGAAAGACCAAGGAGGCAGAAAAAGCCCAACAGTTTTCTGAATAAACTCAATGTACTCAGTTGGTAAAGGCGACTAAAGGCATGATCCACCTCTCTCCAATCTCACATCGCACCGCCTCCTTATGTGTTTGCCAAAAAGCTTTAATTTGTTTTAGATTCAACGCCAAACCTTTCAGGTTTATTCAAGCCCCTAGAAGCATTCAGTCTGTGAAATATTCACAACTATTAGAAACCGACCCTCTTCCATTACTCTCCTTTGTAATTACCCCTTTCTGATTTATTCTAGTGCTAAGAAGACCGTCAGTGAACCACATTTTTATGAAGGTATTTTGTGCTACCAGAGAGTTAATTCAGTGTTGCCTGTGCCATCACAACAAGCGAATGGTTTCTCATGTAAATAAACACTAGTTGGTACAAACCCAAAAATCAGGCTCCCTAATGAAAGTTATTCCGTTCAACGTTCAAATAAGGTCAACCATGGGCTTATACACTCATAACACATGCCTCGGGAGCAAAGATTCCCACTGGTTATAACTTTAAAGTAATGGTACTGAATACAACGCACACCATATATAAGCTCAAAATACCGTTGAAAGACGTCCGAATAGTGGAGTGAATCGAATTACTGTTGAGCATGAGACGGTACCGTGACTGATGCGTGAACTTACGGACTAGAAGGTCCGTGGTTCGCGCCCCATCTAGGCAACTCGACCGCTCCCGGCTGGGCTTGGGAAAGCCTGTGGTGTCTCAGCCCTCGTGCCTCTTTCGGGCAGCATAACAGCTAAACATCCGCAGGTTGTCAGAGCTGGGCAACAAAAAAAATTGCAATGCCCATTAAAAGTATGCGAGCAACTAAGGGGACAAGTTTTACATTACCCAGTTTTGCCCCTAATTACTACACCTCAGTGGTTTGCAAATGTGCATTTTTATCATCAATCGTTCTGT